ATACCGACAGCAATTTCGAATTTTTCAAATAGCTCATAAATGTCATCCTCGCTAATAAAATATAATGTAAAATAATGCAATATTTCGTAGAAATTAGCTATTAAACATTTTTTGAACAATTTTGTACACAGATTTCTCGTTCCCTTTTTTCGTTTCTGTCTCGCGAGAGAAGAGGTTCTCGACCCGTTTACCAAATTTACACGCAAATTATAATAATAATCACGACGATTATCCGCATCTTCACAGACAATTAACCAAGAAACTTGAAGTTACTGAATCCTATTATCGTGATACAATCGACCAACACTTCCATCCATCCTTCCATCCGATATCCCATAAATAATTCTCAAAATGATTCATGAATCGTATCCACTCGTAACCACTCGTACACGAGGCATTTCGCTTCAAGGCGAAACGAAATTCACATGGAAACGGAAGAGAGGAGGCGCGTGCTTACTGCCCACGATCCTTCCCCCCCCCCTCCCATTCCCTCGGTTGGTAAAGTGGAAGAACGGCAACGTTTCTCGCGTAACTGGATACCGTAGCACACCGAGAAGAAGAAGTTACTCGTTCGTCCTTTCGCCTGCGCGCCAACCACCGAGATGGTCCACGACAAAAGTCCACGTGATTGCTTTCACGCAGAAAACGGTACCGTTTCCCTCGCCACGGAATGCACCGCGAAACGTTTATTATACCCGGTTACGTCACCGGTTCGAGAGACGCGGCCATTCGTTTCGCGGCAACCTAACCTAAGTTTTTCAAAGGGGATTTTCAGTTTTTAGAAATTTTCATAACCGTGAAATTTTATCATCTTTACAATTCTCTTTTGAAAGAAAAAAAAAAAGAGAAAAAAAGCTTTAGAAATGTCACCGTCTCTACTTGACATCTTGCCGCGTTTTATTCAAACAAGGAACCGTGCCAAGGATCGTAGTTAAATCGCCCGATCGTTAATTAAAACGACGTAAAAAAAAACATCTTTTTAATTAGGATCTCACAATCGGTTTTGACGCAATATTCTTCGACTCTTGGCTCTCGAGCACCTCGATTTTCCTTCTCATCCTTCTAAGACCACGATGATCGTACACGAGACCACGAATTACGGCTTGCTCCACTCGAGTTTGCTCGATCGTTAAGACAGTTTACGCCTGCGATTTGCTAATTGGACAACTCGGCTCGAAATATCCAGCAGCGTTTGTATCCGTGCTTTCCTGCGGAGAGTGGTACACGCGATACGAGTGTAACCGTTGTTTACCACCGTACAAATCGCATTCTCTCTGCCACATTAGAGAGTGGATTGTTTTCAAATTCCCTTTACTCGAATCGAATAGAGTTCTCTTCCACGGATGAAACGTGACGAATCTCGACGAATAGATATCGATTGAACACGATTCTCTGGATCTCTCGATTTATTATCTCTGTGTTTTGAGGTGTTTCTTTTGAAAAGGAAAGAAACGTATGTACTCGTGTATACATAGCACAACAAGTCACCTTGCTCTCTCCCATCTTCCACGCTCGAGGGAACAAATTGTCCAAACAAATCGTTGAACCGTGGTTAGGTTAGGTTTCAAAAGTAATAGGAGATTCTACGAGAGGCGAATTTGACGCAATTCCAAGATACAAAAGAGCTTGGAATCCTTGTGAAAGTACATCATTCCGTTACCTAATCATTTTTTATGGTCTTCTTGTTTTAAGAATAAAAGAAAAAAAAATGAAAATAAAAAAATAAAAGAAAATGGACAAAGGATCGTTGGCAAAGATCCATTTGTACCGTAAAATAGAAAGTATCATTATTTCAACATTAACCCGATGTACGATATAATATATATATATATATAAAAGAAAACAAAAGAAACGAGAATCGAATCAATCGAACGATATAAGAATCGCGATATTGGTATGGATTTCAAACAATTACGTCTCGTTTCTATAATGAACGTTTCAATTCTACCAATTCGAGGAGGGAGAGGGGAATAAAAAGATTTGATAAATTAAAATTAAAACAAATAAATATATTACGAATCCATTCGATCTACTAAAAAATGATCGATAATTGATAAAATATCTATTATCGTATCAAGTAATAACACGATAATAATTCATTTCAACTCGATCAAGATTTCCCAGAATTCTATTTATACATTTTACGTATCCTCACGCCGAAAGATAAGAATACGATCATTGGCATTCATTCGCTTTTCACTCTCTCGAGGAATAATAAACAAACTGTTGCGTTTCTATCTTTCGAAGGATCGACAAATGTCCCGTATACCACTCATCGTTCTTCAACCTTTTCCCACGTCCTGTTTTTTCACGCGTGCAATTTTTCGAACAATTTTTCGTCCCTCTTCCCTTTTTCTTCTCGATCAATTTTCGAAATTCGTCTTTCTCGAGAGAAAGAATCAAATGATATATAAAAAAAAAAAAAGAAAGAAAAAGAAAAAGAAGAAAAAGAAGAAGAAACGAGAAAATTTTCCAAGCGTTGTAACAAGCTGTCGTATCGATGATGCAACGCGATGCGTAACACGGATGCTGCATCCTAATTGAGATGCCGATCGATGACTATCGTCGGCCGGTTGAATCGCGATCGATCCCCGGGAGAAGGCAGAGATCGATGCTCGGAAAGGAATTGAAATTGGCCAATGGATAACGAGAAGGCAACAGAGATCGATGGTGGAGAGAAAGAGAGAGAGAGAGATTGAGAAAGAGGACGAAGAAAGGCAGAAAACGGGATTACGTAAGCGGAAAGTAGCTTTTCGAATCGAGAGAGAGAGAGAGAGAGAGAGAGAGAGAGAGAGAGAGAGAGAGAGAGAGAGAGAGAGAGAGAGAGAGAGAGAGAGAGAGAGAGAGAGAGAGAGAGAGAGAGAGAGAGAGAGAGAGAG